ATATACCATGGAAACCCGTTTACACAATTTGAGTTTAATAATCACCAGAGGAGAGCATTACCCTTGAGGGTCTTTCCAACGTGCTTTACTGGTGAAGGTGAATTATCTGTATATTCATTGTTGTCAAGAACGGAGACAGGGCTGGGGTACTCGAGAGGAGCACGAGCCTCTGCCTGTTCTTTTTCACTCACCATCCGGTTGAGTTTCTGGAATAAACCACGAAACGTGTTAGCAATTGACTAAGGGACTAAATTATATATATACATATATGCAATCTAGAAAGCATAAACCTTCTCTACTGATCCAGATATCAAGAACTCGGCAGACTTCATATTCTCAGGAGAACTTTCATCAAAACTAGTTACTTCCACATTTTTTGAGCCTAATATGAAACCCCCATTGGAATGAACAGAAAATTCATTCTTCTGGAAATTCAAATATCTCGATTTGCTGCCTTCACTCAGTCTGTCCTTGCTTTGATGTGAGTTGGGATGCTTTACCCTGCACAAGCCACCTGGGGAGCTCAACTCTTCTCGTTGTTTGTTTGATTGTCTTCTTGATTTGATTGAATCAGGAGGTGTGGGTGGCTTGGATCTCTTTTCCAGCTCTAGTTTCTTCTGTTGCATTCTTGGGCTAATGGATTCTGAACTCTTTCTGATTCCCGGGGTGCTTTCTTTGTGTAACTCTTGGGTTCTTTCTGAAATATGTGCAGTTTTTAAATTTCTGTTGTCTGTTCTCATATTGACAGAGTTCACAGAATTTTCTCGGTTTCTTTCTCTAAAAATCTGATCTTTAGCAGCTCTTCTGCTACTTAAACCCTTTCTGTTATCAATGAACTCACCACCTTGAAGTTTGGATAGACCAGAAAAGCCATCAAGTGAAATTACAGAAGAATTGGGCATATCAGATTTTTGAACGAGTTTTGCTGGTTTCATGATTATAATTGGAGATTCAAAATGTCTCAGAGAATCGGCCCTCTTTTGGGAGGATGCAAGAACTAGATTAGTTTGAAGCTTTTGGTTGTTTACTGTTCTTTCATCAAGTCTGGAACTTGTATACCTTTGCTCATGGTCATTTGCACATGTCACATTATAATCTTGTCCTTCATTTTGGAATTCTAAGAGTCCCTTGGCTCGCATAGCTTCCAGTATCTGTTTAAGTGCTATAAGGTCCTTTGCAGAATGTGCAAATTCGAGATCTTTCAATCTCTTTTCTATCTCACTGTAAACAGAAGGAAAGGTGTTTGGCACCTTGGCTGAACCTCGCGTACTTCTAGAGGCTTGTTTCCGAGAAAGTCTAGTCATATCAATTTGCTTCTTTGGTGCCGATTCAATGGAAAATTGGGATATATGTCTCGTGATGGAATCGGGATTTCTCCCACGAGGTGAACTAGGCTCTTTCCATAACTTTGAGGAACTAGACAGTTGGATTGGGTTCGATGAATCTGTTTCTGCAGATGACCTCGAAAAGTTTACAAATTCTTCCACCGGATAAGTTCTCCCAGAGCTCGAGTTGGTATTGCCAGCTACAACAGAATCAGGCAGGTTTTCCAAACCCATCAGCTTTGCTACAACGCTTGTCGGCCGTGCCTGATTTCCTGATGTTTGTTGCAGACTCTGAACCTTACCATTAAACTCACCACTATCCTTGTGCGACGTTTTTGCATGAAAGATGGATTTTGAATTAGCATTTGAACTCCACATTGAACCTTCTCCACTGTCTAATGAAAGTCTTGCAAGATCTTTAAGCTTTTGGGTAGAATTGGAAAAGTCCCGTGATTCAAAGGGTATGTAGCTTATTTCCCTTCCATCATAAGAAAATCTGCTGGCATCTTTTGAAATTGAGAACGAAGAACTGTCTTTTGAGTGGTAGGATGATGATCTTAAAAGTTCTCTCGGTTCATTATGATACCAAGGTGCCTCTCGAAATTTAGCCGAGTCCTGAGAACCATCCATAATTCTTGGCAGTTGCCTTGGGAAATCCTTGAACTTCACCATAAGATCTGGTGCCTCCTCTATGGTTTTGGCTTTAACTGATAAACCCTGAACTTCCTTGTACATAGAGTCCTTCACGACATCCCGAAGATCAAGGGCTTGTCGACTATACTGTGGAGACGAATTTAGCATGTTCATTGCCGGATTTCTTGAAGGAGTTTCAGGAAAAATCATGCGGTCAAAGGACATGGGTTCTAATTGATTAGCTCGGTTAAAGTCAGGAGAAGAGAAAGAAGATGAACGTGAGGATGAGAATGAGGCCCTGAACAATTCTGTGGAGACTCTTTGTCTCTCTTGTATGTTATTATTGGAAAACTTTTCCTGCCATATCAAATGGCAAAAAGTCAAATTCTCAACAGATAAATACATCACAAAACTTCACAGGTAAATTCAAAGTGCATTTGGATAAGTTTTAAAAACAGTCGAAATCACAAAGTCGTCTAAAAAGCTTAAGCAAACTAAGAGGATTGAAATTTATTTACATCTTCAACACATTCCCATTGTGAAGGTCTTCTGCGTAGAGAACATACCCTTACCAACTTACACGAGAAATTTCACCTAACACAATATTTTTTGGTCATGGTTTCCAAAACCCCGTAGATTTGACCCCTTTCACTAAAATGTCAATGGTGTTAACTTTTTCTTCAAACTGATATTTATATTCAAACCGAAAAATAGCACTACGAAACTGTTGATCACTCCATAAAAGAAAATGTAACATCAATGGGGTGAAGCTATATGAAGGTAATCTAGATAATTTTTGTTCCGTAAGGTGCTGTTTTCATATTTCGGTAGGGCATTATGGTAAGGGTATTAAGACCAGCTAGTGGGGGGCCGAAAAGCTTATGTATTTCAGGACTTAGATATCTTGGCAGTATGGACAAAAATTTTAGTCATGTTGACTGGGTTATAAAGACTCTTGTTTCCACAAATTAACATTTTCATTAGAGTCCTTAAAGCAAGGAATTAAATGGATTCTCAGGACTGATGTTTCCACGAAAAAA